TGTTGATTGAGTTGATTAAAATGTGAAATAAACTCTGGCTTGCTGTAATTATGCAGTTCCACCACAAGGTGTCAGCAGAGATAAGAGAATGAGGGTTTATTTATTATTTTTGTTTAATTAAAATAGAAAACTTTTAACATTTGTTAATTCACCTACTGTGTTTAGTGTGTTTCTATTTGTGTTCATAATAAAATTATGTCAGCCCTGTTTTTGCTTTTTTATAAAATTGCTATGAAAAGTAAAATGTTAAAATTAAGTTTTTAATTTCTTTGTCTTAATTTTCTTCTTATTTAGTATTAGTAGTAGTACTGTGCAGTCATGCACATATTTAACAGTGTTTTATGTTGTATGTCAAGTAATTTTCTGTCTGTCCTTGTGTATTTTATCTCTGTTTCTATGATTGTTATATCTTTAGAGTTAATATTCAGTGCCCCAATAACAATATATTAAAATAAAATATAACAATATAATAGAGGGACTAGTAGGAAGAGCAGTAGTACTATTGGCAGCTGTGTTTTGGAGAATGTTGTTCATAAAATCCAATTTTATTCAAGATGAATTTTTATAAAATAAATAGTTCACAAACAAGATCTTGAAATCAACACGGCAACCATTAATATGCATCACATTCATGCCATCGTTTGGCAGTGTAAATTCTTTTTAAACAATTCTTTTCAAACATTGAATCAAACCCAAAAGATTCTCCAGTTTTTCAAAATAAAAGCCTTGAACAGCACGTCCTGGTGGAGGCAGCAGGTGTGTGTGTGTATACCTGAGCTGTGCAGCAGTGAGGATGGATGTGTCTCCTGCTGGTGTTATGTGCAAATGAAGCAGCCGATGTAAGCCCAAACCCTCTGCAGGATGACCAGGAAGGCCAACAGGTAGAAGAGCAGAGTGACAGCCTGGAGAGAGATGGAGGGATGGACAAGAGAGAGGTGGATGAAGGAGATCACAGATATACATACAGGAGGGACGCAGGGAGAGGCGGGGTGAGGAAATGAAGGAGAGGATGGTGTGATGAGGAAAAAAGACGAGGAAAATGGTCAAAGTGAGGAGATGAGAAGATTTGGGGTGAAGGAAGACAGGAGAGGGATGGAGAGATGATGCTGCAACAAAATGACTGTAATGTGGAGAAGAAAGGAGGAAGGAAAGAGGACTGATAACTGTATACCACTGGGAATGTAACTAATGTATGAATGAGTGTAACTACACATTTGTATTTTCTTCAGACGGACTTTTTAATCCATTCCAACTATTTGGTAGCTTTTTCAAGTTACTTTACAAGTGAAGATTTTTGCACACAAAACATGAAGTACTTGGAAGAAAACTGGTGTTTGTGGCTCCAGAGAGGAATTTTTATTGAACTGAGGTTCATTTTTAAACTGGAGATAAAATATATCTTGAAATAGTTTCCCCTTTGTCCTTCCTTCCTCCCATTCTCCGTTAAATTTCCAACATGACAACAACACAGAGAACAAAGTGGTGAAGCAGTTTCAGCCAAGTTGCAGAAGTGACTCTAAACAGCAACGACCCAAAAGAAAAGAGAAGTAGAGACAGCGTGGAGGTGCAGCCGCATCAGCAGGTGGATGAAGAGTGCAAGAGCCCGGCTGATGATGATGAAGACGACGATGATAATTGGATGATACTGACCTGGAGGGAGACAGAGGGAGTTATTTTCTCTTCAGTTTCAGCAGCACTCGTTTCCATTTTGTTGTTAAAGTCTTCCGGCTGCTTGTCGTTCTTTCCATCCTCCTCTTTCTTTATTGCAAACCCTGAACTACCAGCCTCAAACTCGTCTCCCTGTATCGAGCTATCTGTACTCTCCACACCATGATCATTTTTAGGTTCAGCGCTATCCTCCCTCATACATACAGCATCCTTCCCCTGCACTTCGCTTCTTTCACCCAACCAAACGCTTCCTTTTTCCAGCTTTTTATTCATCGTCTCAGCTTCAAAATCACCTTCTCCCAACCCTCTGTCTTTCAGCTCTGGAACACGCTTTAGATCAAATTCATCTTCATCATGTTGCCCTTTCTGTTCTGCATTCCCTACCCTTTCATCACTGAGCTCCAAGTTATCTTCATCCACCTCTGAGCTCCCTCTCGCAAGCCCAGAACGAGGCTCCTCTGGTGGGACGGACGGTGGACTATCGTTATTATCAGACAAACTGTCCAAACTACCATCTCCAAGATCAAAACTGCCCTCTACTAGGCTGAAACCTTTATCCACAGCCCCTGATAGGCACACCCAGCCCTGCATGTCCTCCTCCTCATTGTCATCCTCTGTGATACAGGCTTCTCCTGCTGTCTCCTGCATAGTTAGTCTTAATTGGGGAACAGCTACACAAGCACTACCTAGCTCTACCCTCTGGGGTTCATGAACAGACAGAGGCTGGGAGTGGTTTTCTGGGTGGTTTGAGAGTTGAGGAAGAGGAAGGTAGGGAGTATGAAGCTCAGTGGAAAGTGGGAGTTCAGGGGGAGTTGAGTTGGGGTAAGACATGCTCTGTTCCTGGGTCTGAGAATCGTGACTCCGTGGAGATTGTGGTTGTATTTGGGGCTTAGTCACAGGTTGGACTGCACCTTGAGCCTCAGTCTGGGTCCTGGCCTCTGAGAAGGAATCTCCAGCTGGTTGTGGTGAACACATCGTCGGTTCTGTATCATAAACCTTCGACAGGCTTCCTGCAGGGACGGGGCTAACCCTGCTCCAGCTGTTGGGTTTGTACCAGCTGGGGTAAAACGTAGCATCTGTTTCCTCCTTCATCTGCATTTCTTCATCCTGAGCATCATGTTTTTCCTCTGTCTCACTCTGTGCTGCCCAATCATCTGCATCGCTTTCTTCCTCTCCACCCTCACACTGATATGTGAAGGAAGACAATTAAAAAGCCATATGGAAAATTTAGCTTTTTTTTTTGTCCTGTTACCGTTTTCCAAAGCATACAATATGTTAGATTGATTTTCACCCCTTCAGGCTGCTTTTGGTGTTGGTTCATATCAATCAACTCACAGAAACTTAAAGAAGTCTTTAGCTTTAAACGTCTTTAGTATCCTAAGTCCAGTTATGTGTGGTGTGTGCACTGATGCCTTAACACATATGAAATTAATGAATAAAGTTAGTTGGCTGCAGAGCTACTAACCAGTGATTGAATAGGACTTCATTCTGAACTGAATGTGAAAGCTTAAACAGGCAACAGACTGAACTCAGACTCACGGTAATACGGTAACTTACTGCTGTACATACTAAAGTGCATTTGAATGGTGACGTGATTGCTTTGCTCCAACAAATAAAGCGAATGAACCACATAGTGACTACGTATCTTTGAACTGAACCGAACTGAACCCACACATTAGTTTTATATTCTCTGTGAGTTGATTCTCAAAGCTTACTGTAAATGAGAGAGGAGGCTTCATGGACATCAATCTAAATGATCTTTTGTTAAAAGATATTAATAATATATAATAAGATAATCATTTTTCATATTTTAGAAAATGATTTGCAATTTTGTAAATTATACACAAATTGTAGTTAATGGGTTCCATAAAAAAACAGGTCTAATATTGTTAACTGTCAGTTATTGAGCATTTAAAGACCTTCTACTGGTCAACAAGAGGTCCAAATTTTATATATTTACAAAAGAACCAAGATGGTTTAAACTAAAAAATATTTTTTGAGTTAATACAGATGTGTTTCTTTCCAGCAGGTGTGATACTTTACCTGTTGTGTGCTCATTCCCTCCTCATGTTCACAGATGTTTCCCTCTTTAACGGGATGAGGAGCTGCACATCCCTCCGCCTCCTCTTTCTCTTCCTCCCTCTTGTTCATTATCTCAGCGGATCCTCCATCATTTAAGTCCAGGTCGTCAATCTCTGGCTGCACAACTGCCTCTGAAGCCTCCAAAGAGTCTCTCAACAAACCTGGAGCTGGTGGGACTGGGGTTGGTGTTGGTGCAGCTGATTGTAGTGGTTCCACTGGTGGGGATATCAGTGCTGGGATCAGCTCTTTAACTGGTTCCTCAACAGATTCCAGGTCCTGGGCCGAGGTTTCTTGATGGTGTTCTGCTTCTGTGTTCTGGACAGAGGGCTCTTTGGGTTCTTCTGGTTCTTGTTCCACCTCCGGTTCTTCAGGAACATCTTCCACAACTGCAGAGAGACAAGAAAACCTGTTGTTACTGAATGTCTGCTTGTTGCATTGTTGTTATTTTTATGATATTTAATCTCAGTTAAACGTGTATTAGATAAACAGAAGGTTTTATTGATCTTTATCTATAAACCTGATTAATTACAATAACATTAACAGGTCTTGGGTATTTATGTTGGCCTCATAAAATGAATATGATTATAGACAACTACTGTTTTACTGTTGTAAAATCAGTGCTTGTTTTGGCGTTTTTTTAAATCTCCATATCCATATGATGCAGTGCTTTAGATTAAACTAACCAACAGTGTATAAAGTTGTTAAAATGAGGTCAACCTTAAACAGCTACAGCAGTAATATGCAACATACAGTAATATTAATCCAAAATTATTATATAGGCTATAGTGGACGGGGACTGAAGGCTCCGTGTGTGTTTGCTCTTAAATTTAGAAACAGTCTTGAAAGAGAGGTGTGATGGGAACATGACCTCACAATCACTGAGTCATACTAATCAATAACCTTTAAGGTCTGTTATATATTTTGGTTGTTTTGTGCATACAGAGCATACATTACTCATTCACTCGTTACCTACTGCAGCTACCAACTATTTTTGGATCAGACTCATAGACCTTATATCCAAAAAAACCCTTAAGCAGATAGAGTTACTGCAGTTTATATTACACCTGCACTCAGGCAGCTTAACAGTTCAGCTTTCACACACACACAGAGCCTTTTATGTTAAAATGTTGGATGTTTTGAAGTGTATAGGAATTGTGTTTTGTACTGTAAATGTTGTCTTTTTAAATAAAATAAGTTTCAAAGTGGTTCACCAGGCAGTCCTTGTTCTCACCTTTGAGGAAGTCTATACTCCTCAGAGCTCTCTCCTGTCTGCTGAAGTTAAATCTGTAGTGGCTCATGCTCTCATAACCTGGTTTCAGTGTCTCGGCTGGACAGGAGCCGGTCGCTGCTATCACACTGAGGAGAGGGGGAAGAGGTGTAGGGAGTAAAGAATGGACGAAAGAAAGGGAAACAGAAAAGAAAAAGTGCCAAACATATATATTTTTATTTATACCATTATGTAATAAATATACAACTAATCTTATCACAATACTCACTTTGTGATCAGCTCTCTTGAATTCTGAAGGGAGGATGAGAAACATAAAATATTTTTAGAGACTTACACACGAAAAAATTCATTCTTAGTACTAAATTGTAACTTTTTAACTACTAGAGTAATAATATTAATAAGAAGTAGTTGTAAACTGTGTCATACATACAAATAAAATAATTTTTTTCAAATTATTCAACCAGAAGAACTGTGTTTTGTTAAAAAGCAGAACTGGCCAACCCTGAAATCTGATTGGCCATCCCAAGCGCCACCCCCATTATCCTTAACTCTACCACTCTGCGTTGTTTTTCAGAGGCCGCCCTTTTAAAGCTAGAGTGAATTATGAAACCAGAAACTGAAGATGAAACTAGATCACCTAACGCATCCGTCGTTGTCATGTCATGCTAACATGTCGGGAAAGAAGCTATATAACTGGCATCCTTTGACCTCTGACCTCAAGATATCTGAATAATAATGGGTTCTCTAGGTTCCCTCCAGTCTTCTCATTGCAGATATGCCCACTTCATGCACATTTGACACACACACACACACACACACACACAGTGTTGTGACCACCTGAACAAATGCAGCCGTGTCCGGCTCCTCCATGCTGCTCGCAGCTCTCTCCAGCAGTTTGTTGTTGGCCTCCACGCTGTCTCCATAGCAACACACCAACGCCTGGACGTGGCCGGTCTTCTCTTCCTCCTCGGAGCTGATTTGGTCTGTCATCGCCTTCAGTGTGATGAAGACAATAATAATGGTTTAACTATTGAGTACTGTTACTGCTGCTATGGCTTTTACTGCCATTATACACTGCAGAATATTGAATTTACATATACTACACACTGTATTGACTGTATTAACATGTATTTTATTTACCATGAACTGCATATTAGCATGTAAGAAATGTTTTTTTTATGTTAAATTACTTTATATTCTATGTTTGTTTATTCAAATCTGCTAATATTTCCCGTAGTTGGTTATCATTGGCCTCAAAGACGTTCAATAATAAATGTGTACAACAGACTGAGTGAAAAGAACAAAATCTGACCTTTCGTTTCTCCTCCAGGATGGAAAACACACGATCGAACCTCTCACACACACTCTGTTTCTGAGTGTTACAGTTCTCCTGCAGAGGGCAGAGTGAAGATTAGTGCACAAAACAAACATAAAAGCATTCTTTCTGTTTTCACACCATATGTGAACTAAATAACTAAATAATACATGTGGCTGCGTATTCACTGACTTGTGTTATTACTTAAGTCATAAGTGATAGTCATCCCACACAGAGATGTCTCCAGGATTCAGTAAGTTTAAAGAAGAATTAAAGCTTGTTAAAGACATTTTTATGCTGACTTATTTAATCAATCTATTAAGCTGAAGGATAAGTCCGGCATTGCTCTATATTTTTCCTTTTCAGCAACAAACTCCTACCTTGACTGAAGACGTAATTCTCTAAAAAGCAGCTAACAGATATGTAGTTTTATTTGTAAAACAGATCAGTGATGATCTAACATATATATATATCCATTCTCAGCGAAAGATTAATGCATATTTGGTGTTTCTGGCAGAAAGATGGTTTATTAGTTATTTATATAAAATAAAATACAGTGTGTGTGTTCAGGGAAATTAAGTGTGCTCCTTTATGTATTTTTAATAGTTTTTGGACAACAATGGGACACACACACACATACACACACACACACACACACACACACACACCTCTATGTTTTTACATGTCTCCTCCAGCTCATTGATCAAGGCCTGGACTTTGTCGTTGAACGCCACCAGAGAACTAATTTCTTCACTCAGCTCATCCTGAGAAACAAAAGCAAATTAACTTGTTATTAAGATATTAGATATTGAGTTGTCTAAAGGCTGCACATTAATCTTGTCTAGCTACGTTCATTTACATTTCAACCCCAACAAATCTTAGTTTAGTCATGAAACTGCTCTTATATTGAGAGTTATTAAATTAGGCTAATTAACTACCAAGTCCTTGAGTTAATCAAACTACTCCCTTTTCTCTAAATACTGTACTGATCACTCTTCAGTGATATTGAGATATCAGACACTTATCAATCGTTGTTGTATGGCAGGTGTTGCACGAGTGTAACGTACAAATCTGTCGTCTCAAGAGCAAAGGCTAAGCGTTGCATTGTGGCATTTCTAGCATTTGTCATCCAACTAAGGGGTTTTTAAAGGGCATTGTGCAGTGCAAAAATCAAATATGATGGCGGAAGGTAAAACATATTGTACTTACTGGGTAGCAAATAAACAGTTTTTGGACACAGGCTGATTTAAAAAGCTTATATTGTTATTACAGACAAACCCTTAACATGACTGAAATCAAAGAACAGACCAACCTCTCTCTGTTGATTTTCAGAGTAGGATTAGTAAATGGAACACAGTAGGAATCTATAAATAACAACTATGGTATACTTTGATTATTCATCAGTAATGTAAAATAGACATAATGTGTATGAAGGTACTGAAACATGAAAAAACACTGGTATAAGATCTATTTTACACACATACACACACCATCACAGAGTGTTACATACCTTCTGCTGCTGATAGATGTCTGTCAGAGGAGCCACCTGACAGGACTGATGAGCTCCGAACACCTTACAGAGAGAACAGGTAGGAACCTGACAGGTGATACAGTAGATGTTCACCTTTTCACCCTCATGGTCTGAACATGTTGCCTGAGCAGAAGGTGGAGGAGGAGGGAGGGGGCTGGAGAGAGAGAGAGAGAGACAGAATATTTGTATGTATATTTACAATCATAATTCTCCTCATTGTGTCTCCTCACCTTGTGGCGTTGCTGCTGTTGATGACTTCCTGTTTGTAGACATCGATGATGTTCTCGACCAGCAGGTTTCGTTGTAGGCCGTAGACGCCGTGGCGGTCCAGCACCACTTCATGTCTGCAGGACGGACAACGGAAACGGCCGCTGTTCACCATCATGGTGGTACGAGCCTGAAACAGGGAGGGCTGGAGGGACAGAAAGGATATCAAAATGCTGTAAATATTAATTATGCAATGGTCCTTTTGGTCTTCAGCATCTCTTCAACCCTCCACGGCTTTCTGTCAGCAACCAACAATTGGAGTTTGTTGTCTGCAACACAGCTGCATGCTGGGATTTGAGTAATTAGCAACAATTTTAGCATCAGTCGGGGTCACCGGTGGAGAATGTGTGAAATCTTCCAACTGTCTCCCTGGGTGAAGTCATAGCTGGTTCAGGACGGGTTACTGAGTTAAAACGAGACCGGAGAGTCCCCCGTTCACCATCCAGCATGTAAACACTGTGAGGCTCAGAGGGCTGCACACACACACACACACACACACACACTCATAGAGAGCCCTGTGTTTGCTCTTCTACTAAAGTCGCACTAAAGTGGTATCAAGCCTCTTATCTAACTCATAGGAAACAAATACCGGTATGTGTATCTGAATGTCACAGTATGAATAAGGTCAAATATGTACCCCAGGCTTTCCGCAGTGCATCGGTGCTATGATGGACGGATGGTCAACAGATAAAGACGGAAAATAAGAGATCACAAGAGAAAACTGAGCAGAAGTGGAAACCGATTAGAGAATTGAGAGTTGGGGGAGAAAAGAGAAGCAGAGAGGCAGATAGACGAGTGAAGAAATAAACAGATGAGCAGAGAGACGGATGGAAGGTTAGAGGGTTAAAGCGGCCTGAAATAGTGGCCTTTAATAAGCTTCAGCTGCTGTTGGGTCTGACTGAGGGATCAGAGCCGCTCAGAGAGAGAGACTCAGAGAGGGAGAGCTGCTTTAGTGTTTTGGGTCAACTTGGTCAGCTTGAACTTACATCGGTCACAAGGTTTCTTCAACAGCGACACAATTTCACAGAGAAACTCCTCAAACCACTTAAAGACGTTTTACCTTCTTTTTTTAAGGAAAGTGAACTTGGGTTTGAACTTGCAGTTGACCTGCATGATCCTTTCAAGATAAACATCTGCAGAACCAGCATACAGTTAAAGGGGCCTGTGAGAACTAAAGGAATAGTTCAACATTTTGGGCACATCTGGGGGTTATGTGCTGGACTATTTCTTGACGGGGACAGTAATCTTGTATAACACCTTGATTGTTTTGAGTCATAACGAGGTTTTGCTCCGTCCTCTGCACCGCAAGTGTTTCGGAAGCACAAGTTGACTACGTAATTATATGTGATTGGGAGTCTGCACACAGTGTTTTAATTTAGAAAACTGACTGAATGGCTCAATCTGCTCAAAAAACATGTATTTTAAATGGAGCAGAAAGTTGAAACTTCACATCTAGATGCCACTAAATCCCACACACTGGTCCTTTAAAAGTTTAGTCTAGTTTAGTTTAGTCTTCTTGGTTCTTAAGTCTGAGAATATGACTCCATACTGATGTCACTTATCTCAAGTCAACATATCTTAACAGAAAGACCATGCTTCAGCAGTTTGAAGGATGTGTGCATGATCCAGGCTCTAATGAAAGATGGTATTAAGTTGCATTATGGGAAATGTAGGACTGCCTTGACTGACTTTTTTTTTTAAAAATCTGTCTCCCTCTTTATACAAGTGCAATAATAAATCACTGCTCTACTCCTTTAATCCTAATCCCATGCACTTTCAATCTGTAAACTGTAACCATGTTTAAAGGCTGAAAGGTTTCCAGTCATGATCTGCCTCTAACTCTATACAGACTGGACCTGTAGACCTGGAGGTTTGTGTTGTGGTTTATATGACGTGAGGAGGCTTGGATGGAGAGAGGACATTATTCATGGTTATGAGTGTCAGGACAGACCTCTCAGTGTCAAAGGTCATGAACATGAGCATGACAGTGAGGGTGGAGTCTATTAGGTTTCCATCTCATATACCACACATGTGTACATGAAAGTTAACACACCCACACACACAGTATTTTTGTGTGTTTCACATTTGGAAATAGTAGTAAAACTAAAGATGACAGGGGTGATAAAGAGTGCAGGATAACAAGAACTGGACCTATGTTCTGAGAAACACTTAAATGAGGAGGTCTTGAGGTGGTTCTGGGTATCGTAGAGCAATCTCTCACAGGAAGAAAAACATTAGTGTTATTATGTTTGTATTCAGATAAATGCCTCACTGACATTTCAAATAAAATGTTTCCTATTTTTAGTTTTTGTTAGCGTCATGCTAGCGGTGCGCACGGCACTGTCAGTCTCTGGGTCTGTTTGTCCACCACTTTGGTTCAGATTAAAATATCTCAACTATTATCAGATGGATTGTCATTGCGCCCAGAAGATGAATCATAAGGACTCTGGATCTACTGACATTCCCTCAAGCTCCACCAAGAGCTTCAAAGTTTTAGATTTAAGTGAAATGTCGCACAAATACTGAACGGATTGCCAGTAGATATGGTTCACATACTCATGAAGCACTAAAATAGTAGGGTGAATA